TGACCAAGAAAGACTACCACGCCGGCCCATTAAAACACACTTCCCTTTCCTCTAAACAAAACGTACTCCTACTTCCCTTCTTATTTTTTTAAAGAGAGAAAAAACGGCTTTATTGATCACTTAAGAAAGTTATAAAGAGTTTTTGGATACAATCCGAAGCAAGATGAAAACCCACAAGGCTAGACAAATTCTTATAAGATTCAGCTAAATGAGCCGTCATATTAGCTTGCCGATGGGCATGCTTATACACCACAAAAACAAAGCTTTGAGAATCAAAGTTGATGTCTTCAACAACATCACTGCGCTTTCCTAACCAGCAGTGTGCTTCCGCAACATATACCATCTCGTACTCCTACTTCCCTTCTTCTGTCTCAATCGGAAGTTAATGATCCTTTACTTTTATTAAGTTCTCGTACTGGTCTACGCTTTCCCAACCACCAGTGCGCTTTCGCAACATATACGATCCCGTACTCCTTTTTGCGAGGGGTAATGTGTCCCCCGCAAAAAGAAAATACAAGCTAGCCAGAAAGGTCAGCTAAAAAGAGGACAATCGGTCATGGCATTCGTGGATGTCTTGATCATTTTTGTTTGGTTTTTGTGTTGTCGTGTTGCTCAGCTGTGGAGACGATGGCGTACCGAAATAAATACCTCTGGTCCTATCGTTGTCATGGTAACGATGGTTCTGGTGCCAACTGCGTGTCGATCCTTTGAGTTGCGGGGGAGAGCCATCAACCACGATGCTTGCGCCTTGGTTAGCTGTGACGACAGTCTCATTAGTAGAGATTCTGCGATGGCATTTTCAGAGTGAACATTGTGTTACAGTCTCCTCGTCTAGCAATCATATTTTTTCTTAAATTCACTGTTTATGTTTTATATTTTTCACGAATACGCAAAGTTTGTGTATCTTTCATTGCTAGAAGGTAGAGAACCACAAAACCACATTTAAAAGAAAACAATAGCGGACATAAAAACAGAAATTTTAGACTTTTTGGCCAAAAGAGGCTCCAACACCAGACCTAAAACAACATGGATACCAAAAGAAATTTGGTAGCCACCTAAATTATGCTATCCAGGACTAGGATATAGGTCCTCCCTACCACGTTACCAAAACCAAAAACGCAGCCACGGGAATGCAACCGCTGCCCATTTGAACGTTATCACTACCCCACCTGCATCCATCCCAGCCGATTCCAACAGTCGTTGCCTCCACTCTCACGGTCGCCCTAGGGCCCATTACCAACCCGTCGTCGCCCGATTCCATCTGTCGCACCCACCGCCGACCTTGCCCGCCACCCCTCGATTCATGCCGCCCTCAAAATCGGCACCAAGGACCCCGCCCCCGACCTCATTGCCTAGCCACGCCACCCCATATGTCCTTGCTACACCGACGACTGCGCCATGCCTCCTCTGACCTCTTTCTCACCATAGGAGATGTCACAACCGCCCAAGCACCCCCTAGGTACCGCAGTGTTGGGCTCTGGCTGAGGGGCAAGTAGGCGACAGAGATCCACAACCCATACACGGGCAAGCGAGTGTTGCTTGGCAAGTTCGCCACACATGAGGAGGTGGCGCGTGCCTATGATGCCACAACACTCCATTTCTTTGGAAGTCAAGCGAGGCTAAACTTCCCGCCGACTCCCCCCACCACGACATTTCTTACGCTCCCTTTAGGGTCGTCTCCTGGGCCGAGGAGGAGGACCACAACAAGGCCAAGGTGCATTCCGCGGCTGAGCGGGGCAATGCCACCTTGGTGGCCAAGCTCGTCAAGGAGAACCCACAGCTCCTCACGCAGAACAACACGTTCTTTGAGTCACTAGAGGACGCATGCAAGATCGAGTGGGAGTGTGAGCAAATCGCCAACCCCAACACCGAGTTATTCCACGAGTTCGATGTCGAGCTCTTCGACGAGGAGGAGAAGGTGGAGTCACCTACAACCAATGACCAGGGGGCGAGGGGATTAATGAACATTTCCTCCAATTACCTCGCCGTGATGGTGAGTATTAGGGCTAGTTTTTAGCGCAATATAGCTAGTTTTATTGCAATGTGGTGGTACATATGTTTATTTTTTTTGAAATAAACCGCTAACTTCATTAATTAGAAATAACAGTTACATCGTCAATAAGAAAAGTTACAATTTCATTCAAGGGCTCCTCAAAACTGTCCCTTGTCGCAGAAAATTTCGCTAACCTAGCAAGTTCATGAGCCAGCTTATTTGCTTCCCTATTACAATGTTCACACCTAGCAAGAGGAAAATCACAAGCCAAAAAATAGCAATCATCAAAGACTGCTGTCGCCGCTCCCGCCGATTGTCCTCCATTCCTCATTGTGTTCATGACTTCCATATTATCGGAGTTAATAACAAGACGATTGCATCCCACCCTCTGTGCAAGAAGTAATCCAAACCTTAGGGCCAACACTTCTGCTGTCAAAACATCCGCACAACCAATCAATTTTCCAGTTTCTGCCAACAATGAATTTTCATTGTCATCTCTGAGAACAGTCCCAGCCGTTCCTCTAAGAAGATCGTGATCAAAAGAAGCATCGACATTCAATTTAACAAATCCCGTAGAAGGTCTGCTCCATCCACCTGTTTTACTAGATGCATTATGGGAGTGGGCATTAACATAGTTAGTTGTTATGGCATGAATCCCCATGGAAGTTTGGCACACATTTTGAAACTTTCCTTCATGAATCAGCTTACATCTATCTCATCATAGATACCAAGCTATTATAGTGATCAGTTCACGTACATTCTGGTTGCCAAAATAGATAGTTCTTGATCTGGCATAAGAAGTCAAAATTCAAGTATTGCCTCTCCCACACAATCAATAGCACATGCCTTTTTAATCACCCTGTACATCCCCAATTTACTCCAAACCTCTTTTGCTTTTGACAAAGGAAAAATACATATTTCGTATCTTCTGGTCCATTCGAGCATGAGGGGCAGATGGGCTAGATCTTCATGTGTCTATTGGCAAGCGTAACACGGCACGGGAGGGTTCCATGCAAAGTACGCCAAATGAATTTTTTTACCTTGTCGGGCATGATAATTTCCAAATCTTACACCAAATAGGATTGACATTGATTCTACCCATACCATTTGTATATCACACTTTCCTTTCATGTTGTTGGTTCCATTCCTCCAAGTAAGCAGATCGAACAATGAACAAACCATTTTTTGTGTAGCTCCATGCAATGAAATCTAACATATTATGCATAGGGAGAGGGAATCACGAGAACTCTTTGAGCATCAATTGGCCATAGAGTTCGTCGCACCAAGTCTTCGTCCCAACAATTCGTGACTGGATTAATAAGATCAGATACCTTTGACAGAAGGTGCCCTCTTCTAGGAGTGATAATTTTTCCTATTTGCTTCGTGTGGGATCCATGCATCTCTCCAAATATCTATACTTTGCCATTTCCAACTCGCCAGATATAGCCATTTCTCAGAGAATTTACACCCGCCATAATACTTTGCCAAGTAAAAGACGAACCCCTTTTTAAACTTGCACTCATCAAATCACCATCAGGAAAATACTTAGCTCTCAAAATAGTGGCACATAACGAGTCAGGTTTATCAATAAGACGCCATGCTTGTTTGGCTAACAAAGCCAAGTTGAAACAGTGGATATCTCGAAAGCCCATACCTCCCTAGTTTTTTGGGACACACATCTTCCACCATGTCATCCAATGCATCCTCTTTTGATTGCCCTCGTCATCCTACCAGAATTGTGACATCACATCAATAATTCCTTTGCAATTTTTTTAGGAATTTTAAAGAAGGACATGGCATAGGTTGGGATAGCTCGTATAACAGATTTGAGCAAAATTTGCTTTCCTCCAGCGGATAATAATTTTTCTTTCCATCCACTAATTCTCATTATAATTCTATTAATCAAGAATTGAAAACAATCACTCTTGTCCATACCCTCATTTCCAGGCAAACCCATATGTTTAATTTATTATCGTACTGATGTTTAATGTATATTTTATGTTTATTGCGCAACTTGCCATAGATGTGTTACCTTCATATTTCATTTACTTTTGAAATTTTAGGTATCCAGTATTTAGGTCTGTTGTAAAAGCCCTGTTCAAGTTCGTCCTATTAACAAGTTAACTTGCCGATTAATCCCAACTTACAAGGTCATCGAGTTGCCAATAAAAAGATAAATCGACTGATTAATTGGTTAAATTATCGATTAACTTGCCAATTAGCCTATTAATTTCCCTACTCGCCAGCCAACCGAGCAGCTACCAGTTAACGATTTCCTCAACAATGTGTAAAAATAGAAATATTTTTTGCTACCCAAATATTCCCTCTCGGGAAAATTTCAGGTGCTCCCATCCTTGTGGTGCTCCCCATGCTCCAACTTCAAAACATCAATTTTAAATGTTTCAAAATTTTCAGAAAAAAATCTGAATGCTCACAAGGAATGTGACTACAACCCCTAAAAATTTCAGGTCCAAATTCGAAATGTCCATTGAGAAACAAAAACGACAAATTCAGCTGTGAATAGTGTCAAATGTTGCTTTTGTCTTTTTTTTTGTGAACATGCTTTTGTCTTTTTATGACACTATTCATGCTAGATTTCACATTTTCGTTTCTCAATTTCCTTTAGAGTTTAGATCTGAAATTTCTAGGACTTGTAGTTACATTTATTGTCAACATTCATAAAAAAAATCAGAATTTTTTGAAACATTTAAAATTGATTTTTTTTTTTAAGTTGAAGTATGAGGAGCACCCCAAGGATGAGAGTACCTGATATTTCCCCATTCCCTCCTCTATCTAAAGTGGATTCAGGTAGCCAAATTTTAGGTGTGTGCTATTGAAGATGCTCTTAGTACTATACTAGTATACGACTTCTAGGCTTTGAAAACGAAAAGCTAGGGTGGTCATTAATTGACCCCTTGTGTTTTCATTAACATATCCTCGTCCTATATATTTACACCTGGAGAGCAGATCGAGCTGATCACTCCATACATTCAGCGATCGATTCTCTATGGACGCTAGCAGTTGTAGGCCCAGTGGAGCCGCTCTACCAACAACCCGGCTACTCCCGATACGCACGCAACGATCAGCAGTGGCCGAATGGACGACGACGGACTATTCCGCGACCGCGGCGGCAGCGGAGGAGGAGCCCTTGAGCCCCACTGCAAGGCTCATGGAAACCATACACATCATCGTCACCGTCGGCCTTGGCTGCCCCGTAAACCTCCCCGTCTTCAGCGCCGGCATCGCCGCCCAGCTTGCCCGCTACCCACGCTTCCGTAGCATCCAAGTATATACCTACTCTTACCATCAAAGATATACACTACTAGCTTAGTTTGTTTAACTCGTGAGCGCGCGCGTAAATGCTTGGCAGGTGACAGACGGCTCAAAAGGCCCACGGTGGGTGCGGACGGCGGTGAACGTGGACGACCACATGATCGTCCCGACGCTGCACCCCGTCGCCGTGGAGGCCGACCCGGACCGGGCCTTGGAGGACTACGTGGCCTCGCTGTACACTCTCCCCATGGACCGCTCCCGTCCACTCTGGGAGTTCCACTTCCTAGACTTCCCAACATCCGAGGCGGCCTCCACCGCGGTGATCCGCCTGCACCACTCTCTCGGTGACGGGATGTCGCTGATCACGCTGCTCCTGGCGTCCGCCCGGAGCGTCGCCGACCCAACACGCCTGCCGGCCATGCCGGAGCAGCCGGCGCGCACTGGCGCCATCTACGTGCCACGGCGCCGGCAGCCCCCGGCCGCAGGTGTCCTGGCAGCGTTCGTCACATGGATCTGGTCGTATCTTGTGCTCGTATGGAACACCATGGTAGACTTTGCCATCTTTGCTGTGACCATTGTGTTCCGTAGAGACCTGCACACGCTCTTCAAACGTGTGGACGGCGACGTCACGTCCAACCGCAGCAGGCGCTTTGTGCACCGGAGTCTTAGCTTGGACGATGTCAAGCTCATCAAGAATGTCATGAACTGCGTAAGTAACCAGCTATCGATTAGAATCCTAATGTGTGATACTACCTAAGTCCCAAAATAATTAAAATTGTTGATTTGTCCAAAATCAAAGTCTAAGTTTGACCAAGTCTATAAAAAAATATTAACATGTAGAACATGAAATTAGCAAGTCTCGTGGGATTCTTTATGAAATATCTGTTTATATAATTTGTATTTGATGCTGTAGATCTTAGCACATTTTTTATAGAGTTGGTCAAAGTAAGCAAGTTGACTTAGAATAAACCTAGAATTTCAATTGTTTTGAAACGGGGGGAGTATTATTCTTGCATACACTCCATCTGAAAATTTTAAATTCTGTTTATGCATTTTTTTTCTCTTCTGTTTCCGGAGACTGTCAATGATGTGCTAGTCGGGGCGACTTCGGCAGCTCTGTCACGATATTACTTTCGCAAGTCTGGTAAGTGGTGTAGGTCTGGCCACAGGGGGCGTATAGTTTCTCCGGCAGGTCGATCTGTTGTATTTACCACATATACATTAATTTACGTAACTCGTCTTCAATTTATGTTAGGTTCCTCTAAGGCCAGCAAACTATGTTTGCGGTCTGTTCTCCCTGTCAATACAAGACCAACCACTAGCCTACAAGTAAGTTTTTTAAATGAAAATATATACAATCTAAATGCAGGAATAATTAATCTACATATTTCTGCACCAAATGTTTACTCATTTCTTATCTTTTATATCTAAATTGCTAACCCTCACTAATATATTGCAAAATATTCCACAAGTGAAATTAACACTCTAGACATCGGAAATAATCGCCAACGTTCAAGTTTGGTCATTAGTTTTCGTACGAATATGTCAGTAAAAGAATAAAATCATGGTATTTATGAAATTATGTTTCTTAATAAACTAATTTTTTTATATATGTTCACCTAACTAACCTAAATAATTACAGTGCATATTACTAGTTACTATTAGAGTAGCTAGTTTGATTCCACGCTTTCTGAAGGGCAATTTGTTTCCAAATGGAGGTTTTAAGTCAATGGATTACTAATTTGTAGCATATCATTATTTTCATCTAACGTTTCCTTACAACTATGTACAGACCTATGTTGATATGATAGAATCCGGTAAGAGTAACCATGTGGCATGGGGAAATCAACTAGGCTACATCCTCCTTCCATTTCATTTAGCGATGCACAGTGATCCACTTGCATATGTTCGCAAGGCAAAGAAGATCATCGATAGGAAAAAGAGCTCACTTGAAGTTATCTTCACGTGTAAGATGAATGCATTTTTTGTCAAAATGTTTGGCATGAAGGTATATATGCTGCCTGTTTGTACTTATATGTTTTATTTTCTAAAATTAAAGTACACAAACTAAGCAACTACTTGTTTAACAACATAACATTGCTCTTATCTAGTTAGTGTCCATGTTTTTCAACTTGATAAGCAGGTGGCCTCTTTTATCTATCAACGCATGTTCGCCAATACAACTTTTTTGTTCTCAAACATGGTTGGACCAACTGAACAAATAGAGTTCTACGGGCACCCAATTGTCTTCATTGCACCTTGTAGTTATGGAGGTCCACATGTAAGTCATCCACGATCTTAAATCAAAACCTTCAATCATAAGCAACATTTGTCCTTTTGTCAACGCAAATCGTCTACCACAATCCACAACGCAAGGAAATTTTCATCACACATTGCTTTCACAAAGAAAACCACTTTACCTTGTATAAATTATCAAAAATTCTCAGGTAAGTTACTTTGGTTTTGTAGAAGATAAAAATGAGAATAGGAACCCAAAATATCAACGACTGAAAGCCTAAATTTCCACTTTGTTGATGTATAGTTACATCTGAAATGATATTGTGCCTAGGAGGAACTACAATATACAATTTAAAGAGCACTCAAACAAGGTGAGGTGTACTCTAACACCAATCACTAGTGGAGTTTTTACAATAATGAGGATTGGTATGAGTATGTGGGTAGTTGAATTTCCTCTCGTTTTAGTGTGAACTTGAATCCATGACTCAAAATGGGATGCAATGTCAGATACATCTCTCTGTATAGTTGATCACTAGATGGCTCCCCAATTAAAGAGATGACTTACCTTGGGTGGGCATACACCCTACCAACCAAAGTAAGATCAACTCCTTGGAACAATATAAGTACTAAAACTTAATTACATGCAATAAATGAGAATGGAAGTAAACCTATTTAAACCATTCAGACACCCTATTATTTTTGTTAAATCAAGAAGATTTATTTTACAGGCCTTGGTTGTGCAGTACCAGAGTTACGATAACACTATTAAGGTAATTCTGTCAGTCGACGATGAAGTGATTCCAGATTATGCTCAACTTTTGGATGACTTCACTGAGTCCTTCGGGCGCATTAAGGATGCGTCTTCAAGGCTTTCAGCATCCATGATCAAGAAAGAGTAATCAAGAAGAAACTGCATCGGTGTGAGATACTTTCGAAAACTGTGTAATGCTAGCGGTATACTCCTATATATTATGTGTGTGCATCACAAGTCACAACATGGTAATATAAACCGAGAAACTCAACCAAAATAAGGTGACAAGTAAAATGTATTCATTATTATTGTTGGAGAATGATGTATCAGAAGGAATAATATAAACTATAACATTTATGCCAGGATTGGGCATAATCCATTATACTCCTGTGCCATTACACTTATGCCTATATGGCTTTATTTCGTCCATGAACTCTTGCAATTAATACCCCTCTGTTCCAAAATAAGTGTCGTTGATTTAGTACAACTTTGTAGGGAGTACGTCACTTCGTGTCTCTTTGGTTAATAAAGTTTGAAAAACAATCCCAATGGCATAAATGCATAATACATATAGTGCTTATTATCCGCCAAGGAACATAAAACGTGTGGATTTTTGAAGATCGAATGCGTCATGTTTTTCTCCTAGAGATTTAGACTATTATAAGTGGAAGAGTAGGGCAAGCTTTGGATGAATTGTTGTATTATTGGGCAAACTTATTAACCATCTCTTTTTTCTCTTTTTTTCTCAACAAATATTTCATTACCCTATAAAAATCACCACTTTTGCGAAACCTAATCAAAGTTACTTGCACATATATTGTTGATCACATGGCCGATTAAAGTTGGACCACTCCAAATTACCTTCTTAACCAACCATTCTCCCTCATTAATTCCATGCTTAACCCTCCCCCACCCCCACCCCGGGCTAAAAAAAACACCCAGAAACTTTGCTGTGGCGTTGCTCCACTCCCCATTACCAGTTGGTGTGCTATTCACTGATAAGCCTATGCACTCCAACATTGGCCTCGATCCCCTCCCCTCTACCGCTCTTCTCCATACCCGGTCAGTCCAAAGATGAACCCCGTTGGTTGTCACTCTAGACTTGTCTCCTTGGTAGGGAATATCATGCATGATCGGACAACTCGCCCGACTCGTATCCTGAGGTGAAAGCATCATCTTCTCTCGTGTCCATGATAAGGAGAAGACACCATTGTTGGGGAACGTTGCATGGGAAACACAAATTTTCCTACGCTCACTAAGATCAATCTAGGAGATGACTATCTAGGAGAGGAGAGATTGGATCTACATACCCTTGTAGATCGCTAAGCGGAAGCGTTAAGAAACGTGGTTGATGTAGTCGAACATCTTCGCAATCCAATTACGATCCGTCCCGCGAACTTCGATCTAGTGCCGAACGGATGGCACCTCCACGTTCAACACATGTACGGCTTGATGACACCTTCACCTCCTCGATCCAGCAAGCGATGGTGAAGTATTGGCTCGAGTCCTCCGGCAACACGACGGCGTGGTGGCGGTGGTGGTGGCGAAAATCTCAATAGAGCTTTGCTAAGCACTATGGAGAAGAAGATGGACTACGAGGGAGAAGAAGGGCAGCGCCGTGGCGTGGAGATGTCCTCAAAAGGTGCGGCTGCCCTCTCTCTACCTCTCTCTATATATAGGGGGAAGGGAGGAGGAGGAGGCGCCCTAGATCCAATCTAGGATTGGCGGCCAAGGAAGATGGCGGCGCCCCCCTTAGGAAACCCTAGGGTGGCTTGCCCCCCAAGCCAGGTGGAGGGAACCCTTGATGGGGCGCCCCACCTATCCTGGTTACGTGAGATGGGGTGAGAGGGGCGCTTTATGTCTACTACACAACCTTCTTCTTGTAGACGTTGTTGGGCCTCCAAGTGCAGAGGTTTGTAGGACAGTAGCAAATTTCCCTCAAATGGATGACCTAAGGTTTATCAATCCGTAGGAGGCGTAGGATGAAGATGGTCTCTCTCAAGCAACCCTGCAACCAAATAACAAAGAGTTTCTTGTGTTCCCAACACACCCAATACAATGGTAAATTGTATAGGTGCACTAGTTCGGCAAAGAGATGGTGATAAAAGTGGTATATGGATAGTAGATATGGGTATTTGTAATCTGAAAATATAAAAACAGCAAGGTAGCAAATGATAAAAGTGAGCATAGACGGTATTGCAATGCTAGGAAACAAGGCCTAGGGTTCATACTTTCACTAGTGCAAGTCCTCTCAACAATAATAACATAATTGGATCACATAACTATCCCTCAACATGCAACAAAGAGTCACTCCAAAGTCACTAATAGCGGAGAACAAATGAAAAGATTATGGTAGGGTACGAAACCACCTCAAAGTTATTCTTTCCAATCAATCCGTTGGGCTGTTCCTATTGAAGGAAATATGCCCTAGAGGCAATAATAAAGTTATTATTTTATTTCCTTATATCATGATAAATGTTTATTGTTCATGCTAGAATTGTATTATCCGGAAACATAATACTTGTGTGAATACATAGACAAACTAAAAGTCACTAGTATGCCTCTACTTGACTAGATCGTTAATCAAAGATGGTTATGTTTCCTAACCATAGACACATGTTGTCATTTGATTAACGGGATCACATTATTAGGAGAATGATGTGATTGACATGACCCATTCCATTAGCTTAGCACCCGATCGTTTAGTATGTTGCTATTGCTTTCTTCATGACTTATACATGTTCCTATGACTATGAGATTATGCAACTTCCATTTGCTGGAGGAACACTTTGTGTGCTACCAAACGTCACAACGTAACTGGGTGATTATAAAGGAGCTCTACAGGTGTCTCCAAAGGTACATGTTGGGTTGGCGTATTTCGAGATTAGGATTTGTCACTCCGATTGTCGGAGAGGTATCTCTGGGCCCTCTAGGTAATGCACATCACATAAGCCTTGCAAGCATTACAACTAATGAGTTAGTTGTGAGATGATGTATTACGAAACGAGTAAAGAGACTTGCCGGTAACGAGATTGAACTAGGTATTAAGATACCGACGATCGAATCTCGGGCAAGTAACATACCGATGACAAAGGGAACAACGTATGTTGTTATGCGGTCTGACCGATAAAAGATCTTCGTAGAATATGTGGGAGCCAATATGAGCATCCAAGTTCCGCTATTGGTTATTGACCGGAGACATGTCTCGGTCATGTCTACATTGTTCTCGAACCCGTAGGGTCCGCACGCTTAACGTTACGATGACAATTTCATTATGAGTTTATATATTTTGATGTACCGAAGTTAGTTCGGAGTCCCGGATGTGATCACGGACATGACGAGGAGTCTCAAAATGGTCGAGACATAAAGATTGATATATTGGAAGCCTATGTTTGGACATCAGAAGTGTTCCGAGTGAAATCGGCATTTTACCGGAGTACCGGGAGGTTACCGGAACCCCCCGGTAACCTAATGGGCCTTAATGGGCCTAGTGGAGGAAGAGGAGAGGAGGCCTAGGGCTGCCGCGCACCCCTCCCCCAAGTCTGAATTGGACAAGGAGGGGGGGGGCGCCCCCCCCCTTTCCTTTCTTCCCTATCCTCCTTCCCCCCAAGTCCTAATCCAACTAGGGAAAAGGGAGGGGAGTCCTACTCCTACCGGGAGTAGGACTCCTCCTGCGCGCCTCCTCCTAGGGCCGGCCGCACCCCCCCTTGGCTCCTTTATATACAGGGGCAGGGGGCACCCCTAGACACACAAGTTGATCTCTAAGATCGTTCTCTTAGCCGTGTGCGGTGCCCCCTTCTACCATAGTCCTCGATAATATTGTAGTGGTGCTTAGGCGAAGCCCTGCGACAGTTGAACATCAAGATCGTCACCACACTGTCGTGCTGATGGAACTCTTCCCCGACACTTTGCTGGATCGGAGTCCGGGGATCGTCATCGAGCTGAACGTGTGCTAGAACTCGGAGGTGCCGTGGTTTGGGTGCTTGATCGGCCGGGCCGTGAAGACGTACGACTACATCAACCGCGTTGTCATAACGCTTCCGCTGTCGGTCTACGAGGGTACGTAGATCACACTCTCCCCTCTCGTTGCTATGCATCACCATGATCTTGCGTGTGCGTAGGAAAATTTTGAAATTACTACGTTCCCGAACACCTATAAGTGTCACAAACAGCCCTGGAGTTCGTACTAGAATAACACCTTAAGACACAAATCAACCAAAACCCTAATGTCACCTGGATACTCCAATGTCACCTCAAGTATCCGTGGGTATGATTATACGATATGCATCACACAATCTCAGATTCATCTATTCAACCAACACATAGAACCTCAAAGAGTGCCCCAAAGTTTCTACCGGGGAATCACGACGAAAACGTGTGCCAACCCCTATGCATAGGTTCATGGGCGGAACTCGCAAGTTGATCACCAAAACATACATCAAGTGAATCACGTGATATCCCATTGTCACCACAGATACGCACGACAAGACGTACATCAAGTGTTCTCAAATCTTTAAAGACTCAATCTGATAATATAACTTCAAAGGGGAAACTCAATCCATTACAAGAGAGTAGAGGGGGAGGAGAAACATAAGATCTAACTATAATAGCAAAGCTCGCGATACATCAAGATCGTGCAAAATCAAGAACACTAGAGAGAGAGAGAGAGAGAGAGAGAGAGATCAAACACATAGCTAGTGGTACATACCCTCAGCCCCGAGGGAGAACTACTCCCTCCTCGTCATGGAGAGCACCGGGATGATGAAGATGGCCACCGGTGAAGGATTGCCCCCCTTCGGCAGGGTGCCGGAACGGGTCTAGATTGGCTTTCGGTGGCTACAGAGGCTTCTGGTGGCGGAACTCCCGATCTATTGTGCTCCCCGATTGTTTTAGGGTATATGGAGATATATAGGCAGAAGAAGTACGTCAGGGGGGCCACGAGGGGCCCACGAGGGTGGAGGGCACGCCCAGGGGGGTGTGCGCGCCCTCCTACCTCATGGCTTCCTCGAAGCTTCCTTGACATGGACTCCAAGTCTCCCGGGTTGCTTTCCTTCCAAAAATAAGTTCCGTGAAGTTTCAGGTCAATCGGACTCCGTTTGATTTTCCTTTTTTGCGATACTCTAAAACAAGGAAAAAACAGTAACTCGC